CCCTCCCTCCCCTATCTGTCTTTGTTTACGTGTTTGTGGAGAGGAAAAACAGAAAAACAAACAAAAATGCGCGAATGCAGTTCACAAAATCCCTGTCTGTATGTGCAAGAGTGTCGGCCTGCTGTGTTTGTGCCACGTGACGTACGTCAAAAGGTGTTTGTGTGCCAGTAGACGCCACCTCAGGGCTCTGTGGGAGTCACGACGCCTCTACGACTTTTCTTTTTTGCTGAGATGCACTCACCTATATTACACACACACACATGTGTTGCTGCTGCTATTTGCTTTCATCTCCTGCTTAGAAGTGTAAAAAAAAGAGAGAGAGATATTAAAAAAAAAAACCATCCCTCGGCCCATGAGTAAGTATGTCAGCGCTGTCTCCGGCTTTAAAACTTTTGAGTCTCGGAGAAGCCAGCTGAGACTCTGACCCTGCATCACGAGCATCCACAGATGGTTTTAACAGCCTTAACAGCTTCCTGATGCATGTGAATCGGTGTCCGAAGATAAGACGGGCTTGTCTCTGTAGGGTGTGAGTGCGGGTGCGTGTTTGCATTCGTCATTGTTGCTGTTTTTTCTTTCTTTTCTTTTTTGTTTTGTTTTGTTTTTGTTGTTGTCAGGTTTCCTTGCAAAGGATGAGCTACGTTTTCCACTCTCAGGCTGCATGCGCTTAGAGGGCTAAAAAGGAGCTACTGAATGTAAAAGCAACTTCAGAGTAACTTAAATGTGTATAAAGATCTTCATCGCTTCATGTACCGGACCAAAACCTTTATTCTGCTTTTTTTTCCCTTTGGTTGACATGAAGTTTAATTCTCTTATTTTGCCAAAAATAAAAGAAGAGATTCATGTAAGAGCGTATTTGTAACTACAAGTATTCATGTTCATAAAATCAGTTTGTTGCTTCTTAAAACAGTGTGTGGTGGTATTTTTGTGACAAGCGTGGCTCAGACACGCACATGCGGCTGTGTGGAGCATTTCAAACAGCAGGGGGCGTGAGGCATCCAGTTTTCCTCTCTGACCTCATGCGCAAGGTTACTTTTGGATGCATGTTGCATAACTACATACATACTGCATAAGCGTGCAGCACAAATATAGAAGCCCTTTAGAGCCGCTAGAATGACTACAATGGGACCCTTTTGCAATATTTATTGGAATATTAAATCCAGTGTAAACCCAAATCTACATCATGCCCACT